ATCAATAAGTTCCTTTCCCTGGAGGGTCTCGAGTCTCAAAAGTTTTTTTCCTGCTCATTCGCTGGATCAACTCAGAACTGGGGGGACATGTAGGACAGGTGTCAACTGTCCTATCGAGTGCTGATGGTCTTTTGTATGATCATATGTTCCCCAGTGTCGCTGCAACAAAATTATTCAGCAAGACAAAGAGCTTCGTCCATGGCTTGCTCTTGACAGCTGCCACCAGCTACTTGGTGGATTCTATACAAAGACCCAACAGAAAGCATGAGGCTTCAAAGGCAACTGTCTCCTACCACTCCTGAAACTTAAGGCATCTTTCAGACTAGCAGTCGTCTTTTCGCCATCAAATTCTGGATCGCATCAAGGTGACTTGCAGCAGCTGCCGCCGTATTGCAGTGGTTCAAAACGCCGAAGGTCTCCGTTTGCCCCGCATGGCGGGAGGTGCCGCCCTCCTGCTCGCCGATCAAAGACCAATACATCCAATCAAGTCCTGCAAAGAGGGAGGCCATGACGTCCGTGGGAAAGGAGCGACCTGTAAGCTTTTGGGGAGATGGGAAAGTATGGGACAGTGAGAAGGTCTCTTTGGATCTAGAGGGTCCATCGAAATCTCAAGACTTCGAAGTTTCAACTAGGTTTGTGGGCTTGAAGGCCTCCATCTTTTGCACCAGCCATGTATTCAGAGAGCTGCGTGAACCACAAGCTGGCAGTCGGATCATTGTGCCAATCCTCCAGGGGGACGCACGGTCGCACGTGGAACATAGGTTGCTAGGACCAGGAGTACTTTAAACATTTGGCAAAAAGCCGGCGCACTCATGAATGTGCCGGAATATGGACACTTGCTGCACTCCTGTGCCATCCCAAATTCCGTCAAGACCACTGGCACCAAGTCTTGTTTCACCAGGAAGCCCCACCAGGCGTCAGTTCGTTCCGCAAAGTCGCTCCGGTCACTCTTGAAGCCTCAAAACAGGCAGCATGCGGCTGGTAAGAACATTCGTTCCAAGGATGCTGCACTCCCCAAAGAACGAATATAATCAGTTCAAAATGGAAAAGGGGAACCTAAACCCAATCCAATGTCATCAAAAATAACTCACCTATAAATTAGACTAGTTATTAGTTAAATCCAATTGAGACACGTTTGATTTGACTGAAGTGCCCTTTCGCAGGAATAGCGCCACGCAGCGGCTCCCCATCCTGCAGACCCTTCCGGGCATAGCAGTGATCCATCCCAGTGCATGTAACCCCGCCGCACATATCGCCGAGAGTGTTGCACGTCTGCACGGCTTGACTTTTGTTCGCTGGCGAACTTTGCCCTGGCTCGGGTCCAACAAACTGCCCAGGTAATGCCACATCAACAACCTTGGTAACAGTTTGCCAGGAGTAGGAGTGTGCTTCCAAAACCAACTTCTCCTTTGGAAGGTTGGGCAACTCTTTGAATTCACGTAGGTCAGAGGAGTAGTCGAGGCCTCCGACCGAAATCAACAGATTGGGATTCACCTGGCGTTCAAGCAGCGAGGGAGCCCACATCGTCCAACAGAAGTTGCTAGATATACTCAATACTCCATGTAAATATACATTCTGCGCAGAACTTGGAAACCCTGTCTCCTACAAAGCAAAATCCGACTCTTGTGGAGGCTGGGGCCCTTTGTATCATCACACACTTGCTTGCACACATAATCTGAAACCTCGGTGTCTCCAGGCTCTGTGGATCTTCATGTACTGTATATATATATCCACTGCATCCATGTCGCACGACTCGTGAGCCTAGCTAGTCTGGAGGAAACGTCTCAAAGCAAGCAGCTGCTTGCTAAAACTGCAAGCAGGAAAACTCAGGAAACTACCAAAGCTATTCACACCTACTCGATATTGCAATTCTGTCTCCAGGAAAGCCTGGAATCGGAAGGTTGAACAGCCTATGCGCTCCTGCGTCTCAAATGGAACAACAAAGAAAAGGAAAACAGGTTTCGGTTTGGGTGGGTCAAAATGGAATCACAAAGTTGACATATGGTCATGTGGCTAAGGTTTCCACATGTTGGACAGGACGCCTTTGTGAGGTGTTCATTATTCATTTGGGTAAATGGAGGTGAGAGGCGTTCAGGCTTTCTTCAAGTTACACTTGGTCAAGTTTCTTTCAAGAGTATAGTATATAGGTCTATAGGCTAGAGTTGCCTGTGAGCATCCTTGAGACCTCCAAGACATGTCAAAGGCACTGTAAAGTATATGCCGTAAAATAAATAGCCACTTGGCAGCGCGCTCTTTCTGGGGTGTGTGCTGCACTGGTCACAACACGATATGGACAACCTATGAATACCTATATGACCTTTGATAAGCTCCTTTGCTACGTCCACCAACATCTGGATCGCCTCCAAGATCATACGGCCTGCGCGCTCGGCCGCCGTGCGCCACTGCAAGGATGCTGGCCCTGAGGACCAAGTTGCAGCAGTGAAGTTGCCGATGTTTTCCAGGTGTCCTGACGCGTGATGCCATGAGATGTCATTAGTCGTGATCAAGCTGGCAGTCGAAAACCCACAAATCTATATAGAAAAATTGCTCAAGACCTGACAGAGCGTCCACGATCAAAGAAACTTGCATTGCAAAAGGCACCAGATCCCCAGCTCTTCCCGGTGGTCATGGCACGAATCTCATTCTTGAGGCCAGCTGCCACGACCACCTGAGCTTTCCCATCCACCCCGATGATTTTGCGCGAGCCAACAAACCGATGTGGGCCAGCCGATCCAAACACATGCAAAATGCACAGAGATCAGCAACAGCAAATTCTTTGAGACTTGCACAAGCTCGGCATGTTCTGCAGTCTGACAATCTTTGATAGCGATTGCCCGGGACCACAGCATATACTTTAGATCTTAGATCACTCCAGCATACTACAGTCCATAATTTAACTAGTAATAATATGCATGCTGCAACTGCTGACACGAGCCCGGGATGATGAAACGTTAGACAAGGACTTGTTCAAGCTAGGTCTTCCTTCTCAACTATCTTCTGACTTCTCCGTCAAAATCACAAGCGGCCTTGTATGGACGGCTGAGCTCAGCGACCCTGCGCCAGGCATCCAACCAATCCTCCTCAGTGTGGTGAGCGTTGAACCACAGGCCGTTGCAATCATCATCATTGCAGCACCAGTCAGTGTCCAACATGTGGTTGTCCTGCTGCAGGCGATGCAAATCACTGAGAAGCAGCTTGCGAAACGTGTCTGTATTCGTCGGCCTGCCTGCAACTCAAAACTGCTGTACTTAGCATACGTGAGTATCTTAAAAAGCCCGGGTTGAGCACATCAATTCCCCCAACAAAATCACTTATTTGCTCTTTGACAAATGGCTACAGCCAACAGGGAGTGGAATCCTTTTCCTGGACTTCATTGATTTGGGACTCTTTTGAAGCCCCTTTCATCACCAGTCCAGCCACACGTGAAGGCCAACCGCTTCAAAGGACTTGAAAACCTCTTCCATGACATCTAAGGCACGCTTGCCAATGAGCCGAGGGTTGGCGGCCACTAAGCGCTTCGAGACCACAGGGTTCGACCTATCACCAGGCACTCTTGGGAGACTTGCAAGGCAAGACTCGCAAAACTTAAAAATACCAGACGTACCTTCAAAAAGAACCTTCAAAAAGAACTCGTGCAACCATTGAAACTCACAGCCTACAGCGCCTTGCTCACTCTCACTCACTCACTAGCTCACTCCCTCACTCGCTCACTCACTCACTCACTGTCTCTCTCTCTCTCTCGCACGCCTACAACCATCCCCAAGCAACCTAAGGCTGTTCTATATGTTCTACAAACTGTGGGCCAATCATAACCGAGCCCAGCCTCACGGTGTTCACATCCCAGGTCAGGCGAACCATGTTGAAGCCCAGCGATTTGATGCGCAGCACTAAGGACTCTAAGGGAGTGCGGTCCAAACCACTTGGCACATGCGTGATGTGCATACCAGGCCAGTTGACCCCGTGAAGCCGCACTGGGTTTCCTGGGAAGGTTCCATGCATCGAAGAGAGTTTGGGCACGTTTGGGGCGAAATCTCGACACAAAGATGTCTCGGTGCCGTTTGAATGCAGGCCGTTTGTTTTGCAAATCACACAGCTGGCAGGCCTTCAGAATCCAATAGCTGATTGCCACTAGCACGCAATGGTCCAAAGGAGGCCGATGTCAACGGAACACTTGGCCTTTCTGCATCAGACTTGCAAATCCACCGAACGAGCAGCTCTGTGCAGCTTTCACAAAGGTGTTCAAAGTCGGACCACTGCACCTCACAACTGCGTTGTCCGGCACAGGTGCTCTGCAAATGTCGCTGGATGTGGACACCTGTGAAGTTTTTTCGCCCATCATCTGCATCGGCCCCACACACCCGCTGGTCAAAAGGCACGGCACCAAAATATGCGAAAGGGACCTGGGTGATCAGATCGTTCTCGTATTGATCGCAGGCCAAGACCACTGGCCTTTCCCGAGGTGCAAAACAGCAGTGTAGGTCGCTGCTGTCCTTGCTCTGCACCAAAGCCAGCAAGAAGAAGGGGAGAGTCCACATGTGATGCTTCATGATCAAGTGTCAAGTGTTCTGCGCTCATTGGTGCCTTCTTTTGAATCAGCTCCCTTTCTACATTGTGTCTGAGTATGCCTGGGCATTGCTCCTGCTTGCTGACAGATTCTTCCCATGTTCTAGCTGTGAGCTTGCGAGCCCATGTTCAAAAAGCCCCTTCGAATTGTGCTCGTCTCTCTGGCAAGCAGACAGTCGAGCACGGCGCAAAACAATGCCAGCCAATCTAACCTGAACTCAGCTTCCAGTGCCTGCGATAAAAACATCTCCGGCGCCAATGCTGTTGACGCTTCCCTGGCCACAAGAAGTTGTCAGCTCATCGCCATGACAGGTGAAGGAAAAGCTTCCAGATCAGTATTATGGATCAAGAATCTCAGGTTGAAACCCATATCTGACAGCGACCCCCTCCCTCACAACAAAAAAAGAAACGCAACCCTGCGCGACCCACATGTCACTCTAGGCCTTGAAGGATGCAGGCAACGGCCATGCCTCGGGCTGCGCCCCTCCTTGCCACTGCCACAGGTGAGGCATGCTGAGGCACTAACGTCACAGGCCAAGGTGTAGAATTCATCGAAGGAGCCGGCACAACACACCTGAGACTAGGATGGAGTGAGTGATAGAGGAGGATGTTGAAGGTGGCAAAAATCCTGCGATTCCCCCATGACAAACATGAAAGAGAGGGAGATTGGCAAAACCTATATAAGGAAAACTGAAAACATATCAACATATCATAACATGTCTAAAGCTTCGTTTGAGAGTTTGCTTGGCTTGTTTTGCAAGGCCTTTGCGCACTCACTTTCCGTCTTCGTTTTCGGGGGTGGGCTTTCAAAAGCAAATCTTAAGTACAATGTTCACATAAACCGCCCTTCCAGCCATGTTTTGCCTGTTGCTCGTGTGTGTGTGTCACCTCCTTCTTGGCACTGAGGGTGGAACAACCGGGACGCCCAATGAGGCAAGCTCCTGGAACTATTGACAGCTTACACCAGTACAGAACAAATCTGCAACATCTATGTACATCCTCCGGTCCAACTTTTGTAGTTTGCAAATGTGTTCAATGTGACCTTGCTACCCTGCTCTACGAGTGTCATGCTGTCCTCTGCGCCCAAGTTGCACTTGTCTCCGACGAAGCTTTTCCTGCACAATGTCTTCGCAGCGTTGTCCCTTAAAGAGATGTTCTGGTGGGTTGCGGCTTTCTGTGGAAGCTCTATTTGTAGGATGCGTGTACCGCCAAAAGGCGGTACAAGTAGGGACGATTCTGGACCGGTTCTTCCTTCAGTCGGTGCAAGTCACTTACACTAAACAGGATCAGTACAGGGGCCAATTTTAATTTGCCCTCTTGTCACTTGTCTGCTTCGGTGCCTGACCATCAGCAAGGATCCACGCTCACCCCGAGTAGCAACAACAAAGGAGGCTCTTTGTGCTGCCTGGGCTGAGGAATTTCGTGGAGTACTAGCGCCTAGAGACTATGCACGCACCAAGCATGACTCATAGCGAGAGGAACAAGAAAATAAAGTAAAACTATATATGTATATACCCATCTGAGTCAAGAATATGTTACTTCAAGCTGAACAAAAGTACGCCACTCCAGTGACATCTCGCAACCTCCGCTCTCTGTCCATGCCAAATCTTCGCGGTCACAGATCAGGACATTTTTTGCAGGCACCAGCCGTGCTTGCATGGGACAAGAGACTGAACAGTATTGGACCTTCAAACGGTCCAAGAGAAGTATGAAGACTATAAAGTATGATAAAGCCACGTGCTGCCACTGAAAGAGTTCCTGCCAAGCTAAGAAAAATATCGAGCTAGCAAGCTGAGCTCCGCGAGTCGGCCTTGCAAGTGTCTTGACTCAAAGGCACACAGAAGAAAGCCCACATGCCACAAGAAAGTATCGTCAGTTGTTGGCACATCTTCTCTTCAAAATTCGAACTGACGACAAAAACAACCAGCGCCAATCATTCAATCGACCACATGTCCAAAACGCTTTCGAGCAGCTTCAGGGCCTCCTCATTGGCCAGCTTTGGATCTTAGAGCCTTCTCCGAGCAGAGCTCATGTCTTTCAGGTCGATCCATGCCCAAGGATCGAAGAGCTGCGGCCCGCGCGCCGCGCAAAGCGTCGGCTCTTCGTCGATGTTTGCGAGGCCTGGACATCGGGTCAGAAAGTCTAATTACTAAATTATACTTATCGCTGAGTCTGTCTCTGAAAGCTTACATGCAAACACTAACGATGCATGCTAAGTTCCCATGATTTGGGGCATTAAGTTCATGGATGGTAGCAATTAATGCAATTTATGACATAACTGTGTCATCCTTGTGCCCAACAGCTTGTATTGTGACCACATCTTGCCGTGTGCCTCGGCGAAATTCCTTGGTCGTCTGCTTTGTCACCTAAGTATTGGAGGACCGCCACCCACCTGCACCTTTATCATGACCTTGAATGAGCACATCATATTGCATTCAGGCACAATGAGGAACAAATGGTATGCCCACAGCAGTAAGGATAAGAAGGCAGCAAAGGCTACGAGCACCTCAGGCACATGTGCCAAAAGTTATCACAAACTGAAGCCGAAGGGTGACCATAAGCACTCTGCTGAGGCAGGCACCCCCACGCCAATAAGGAAATAGAAAAAGAAGGACATCCGTTGGTCAATCTTTGCTGCCTGGCCCACACGGGCAGTCGAACGAGTCATTACACTCCCGAAAACTAACATAGACCCTGACAATGGTCCCATGGAAGACGATTTTCCTCTACCAACCAGGGGTTTTCAGGTTCCATGTTAGTCTTCCAGGGTGTAGGCCAATGAGTTAAGTTCGGAAAACCCTCTGATGCATTTAGCATGGGTTCAACTCTGCACGCCGGTGGTTGCAATGAGCATGCACATGCGGACGGAGTTAAGAACGTGATTCAGATCAAATTGGTGGAATCAGAACCATTTACATACTTTAGCCGAGTTCTGTGCAGGACGCATCTTTCGAGTTGTTCCCGTGTCCTAACAATATCAGGCAGAGTCAACCAATCCAAGTAGCATTTCTGATGGCCCGCTCTTGCCGTGGATTCAGCAAATGCAAGGCCAGTGCCTCAAAAAACTTAAACCAGTCTGCTGCATGGGGGTTTGCGCTGCTGCCATGTCAACAAGCCTAACAAAGCAAACACACGCGCACACACATATATACATAAAGAGAGAGAGTGTGTGTGTATAGTAAAATATAGATGCACGTACATATGCACATAGACATACAACCAAATGGACATCAATTATGTTGACCGTCCGGAAAAAAATAGGTTTTTGGTGTTCACGCTCCGGGTCCGGGCATGTTCTGTTCCAAACACCTTTAGGCTGAGTTCCCACATATAAATACAGCATTGATCGACACGGAGCGTTCGTGAGCTGCAGCGATTGGCGACCCTGGGACGGCTGCGCAAAGGACATAACATCCAGTCAGCTGATCCTCTCAACATGCGTCAATGATGACTAATGATGTTTTGCTTCCTTGTACTAATACGGGCTGGAGATAACGTATAGAAACAAATCAAGAAATGGTAGAAAGTTAGAGATATGTCATCACACATTACTTACTATGCCTTAGGTTCCGCACATGTATTTGGCGCAAGCAGAAAAGGGCGGTGCCTCTATAGAATGTGTGACACGAGATAAAGCCTCTATAAAATGACTGGCAAGGGTGTTCCGGTCCTAAAACAAGCCAAGCCAAATGCAGTTCTACTACCTCAGTGTCTGGATCTGACTGCAAGTCGCAATGTTTTGGTGGCCCGAACCTGTGCCGGGGGGCTCGTGGCGCCGCATTGCGCGGATTTGCTCCTAGTAGTATTGCCCGGAGCTCCTAGTAGCGTCCTTGCTCCTAATGTGGAAAACGATTGAATCTTTTCAATAAGGTCTTCATTTTCCTTGCATGGAACATGTTTTTGTTCCATCGTTTGGCGGCTGGCAATTACGATTGCAACGGCCAGTCGCAAGCCATTTCGCTTCATGATTCATTTGGGCTCACCGAGCTCCAACACTTGCCACCTTGCCATTGCGTCTGGATAGCACATTTTCTATGAGCTGCACTGCGCCTAGGAGTCATCCACAGTGTATCCAATGTATATAAACAGAAGTGGTTCTGACGCAAGGTCCAGCAAGGCGTTCCAACAACATTCCCGGAGCCGGAATGGGAGGCGCTCCTCCGCACACCACCTCCCCAGGCCTGGTTGGCCTATCTCTTGATAGAGGAACAAAGCACGGTGCAGCACATCCAGAAAACAAACAGAACGCAGCAGCTGCAGCTGATCAAGGCATATACAGTATATACAGTTGTGATTGCATCCCCCTTCCCACCCATGTTTGGAGTGCTTCACATGGGGTGCTGGTACCCCCGTTGCGGAGTCCAACCGCGCGCGTCGGTGTGACGCCAGGAGGCTGGCAGGACCATCAAGGCCAAGACCAAAACACAGGAGATGAAACCGAAGAAGTAGTGGTAGTTCCGCTGCCCAACACCTTCGGACTCGTCGGACCCGAGCAGAAAAAAAGTAATGTGAAGATGTCTGCGTGATGTGAAGATGTCTGGTGTTTGTTGCAATGTTGGTGCTTCTTGTTCCATCGGTCTGGCTCCATTGGAATGGACAAATCAACACTGCGAGCGGAAAGCGTGTCTGCGCATGTGGTTGCGCCGCTTGCGCCACCTGCGCCGCCTGCGCCACTTGCGCCGTTTGCGCCGCTTGCGCCGATTGCATCTTCTGCGCCGCCTGCGCCGTCTGCGCTGTCTGCGCCGCTTGCGCCGCTGGCGCCGTTTGCGCCGCCTGCGCCGCTTGCGCCGTTTGCGCCGCCTGCACCGCCTGCGGCGCCTGCGCCGCCTGCGCCGTTTGCGCCGCTTGCGCCGCCTGCGCCACTTGCGCCACCTGCGCTTTCTGCGTCGCTTGCGGTGCCTCTGGCAGCCTTTCACACGTGACGCTCGGCGTGCGCTCGAGCGCCAGAGGACCAGCGCTGCGGGCGTGCACTCGATCGTTGGACAGAACAACAACCTCCTCAAGGCTGACGCGTTGAAAAACGCAAGAAACTGGGGCGGAGGGATTGGGTCTCTGAGTTAGAGTACGAAGATGGCACATATACAATTGACAGCTGCAAGCAGCAGCCCAAGCTACTTCAACCTTTTCTACCGGCACGCTGGTCTACCGGTGAGAACGGTGTAAACCTTGCGCTTAAGCAGTCAATCCCACGTACCGACCAAGACCTTTCAGGTCACAGCGTTAGTAAAATCTAGTTCCTGATTCGAAAATGAAAATGTCCGTTGGGAGCGCGAAAAGTCGAAAGCTCAAAAAATTGATTTTGGCTTTCGGACACATTCGAAAAGGAAAAGAAAAACATCCGAAAAGTTGAAATGTTCATTTTGTCTCGGACCCAATCGAAAAGTCACAAATTCCGAAAAGTCGAAAAATCCGAAAAAGTCGAAAAGTCAAAAAACGAACGAATCCAGTGTCCTTTCCAATGTAAGTCACTAAGTCACGCTGAGTCACGGGCGACAAAGAACCCTCCATAGACCCTTCTACTTTAGAAACATTGAAAATTTCAACAAACATTGCAAGGTTGGGAGTTCGGACCGCCAGTCTAAGGCATCAGAAAGAATTAGACGTTAAGGTGGTTCTGGCGCTTCCAGCCTGGGAGTTTCGAATGACACTCTTGAGAGCGGTTATCCTCCTTGGAAATGGCTGCGGTTTCCTGAAGAAGTGCCAGAAAAACGACATTGCACGATGGAGCGGATGGAGCGCATGGAGCAGATGGCGCGGATGAAGCGGATGGTGCGGATGGAGAGGATGGATTGGATGGAGCGGATGGAGCGCATGGAGCAGATGGTGCGGATGAAGCGGATGGTGCGGATGGAGCGGATGGTGCGGATGGAGCGGATGGTG